AAATGTTGATTTCTTTTTTTACATGTCAGCTGTTCATTATCCAATACACAGCATGTCATCAAGATAGACCACAGGTTTGTGGCCTTGTTTTCGGAGATAGGCTATTACGAGTACTTCCTCCATAATTTTCGTAAAGGCCCTAGGTGCCACCGAAAGGCCATATGACATAGCATTAAACTCATTCGTGATTAATTTATTAGAAATTTGATCTCGAAAATTAAAACGTAAGTAGGTCAGATTCCACTATAGGTGCTAAAAGATAAGTTTCTTTTAAGTCTATGGTAGCTAAATACCTCCTTTGGGTATTAGTTTTACTGCCGTTCTATAATCTTCCATCTTGAAGTGAGTTTTTTCCCCGAATTTATTTAATGGTTTAATATTTAAATTAACCTGTTTGCTACCATTAGGTTTAGGTGCTAGAAAGGTCATTGAAATAAATTGACCATGCGATGCGATGCAGCGCGATATAGCACCTAAATCTAGCAGTTTATTAGTGGCTTCAAACATTTCGAAGCTTTCTATATATGCGAGATCACAATTTGGGGTTGATATTTGAATGACTGCCTTACAAAAAGGGATAGGATATCCGTTAGCGATCCATGAGAATATAGTGTTATTATTAGACATTTTAAACCAACAGTTTAGGTATGATTTAATGCGGCCTGCGTGTACCTGAGTTATTGTGGAGCTGCACATGGCCTGGAAAGCTTGTGTGCTCTTGTTTGTATTTGAGCAGGGGGTCGATAAGCCCGGCGTGGTGGTGCTACCATTGCCGACTTCCGTTAACCTCCCCGCCCCCCTCCCTATTCGTAGGGTAACGACGAGGTCCCGACCAGTTTCCCTGGCTGGGTCGAGTAACATGTGACTGCATAGGGTTGATTTGTCGTAGCCTTGATTTGTGCACTCTGTTTACTAATGGCAAAACTGGCTTTAATTCTTTCAGACAAAGGGTTTCCAAACAACGTCTCATCTCTGTCGGCGTCTTGAATCACTGTTAGGATTTTTTTTTTTTTTTTTCAAGCCGTGAAACCAACTTCTGTCTTTGGACAGTAAATAATGTAAGGTCTGTTAAGAATCGACAACAGTCACTTATTTGTGTTAGGGTCAAAACCTTATTGTTAGATTTCAATAATGTATCAATTCCTCTGCCAATAGCAGCAGTACCAACTCTGAGCTGCTGTTGGAATTTCAACAGTTTTTTATCTCGTCCTCTTGCCATATCCATCGCCGCAGCAGAAATTTCTGCGTTGAGCTTGGGAACTTGCAACATTGTACAGTTGCTAGGTAGTAGGTATTCCTTAACGAACTTATCTGTTTCCTCACTAGGAAGGCATTTCTTCAATATCACATCACCTCAACAGCCTTTACTAGTCCATTGCTGGACATAGGCCTCTCCTTAGAAAGGAGGTTTTGGCCTCCTCCGGCCTTCAATATCGGCGTCCATAAATTTGCTACACTATCATGGACGTTAGTACCAAATTATGGTGTAGCAGATGTGGATGCACCCAAGGCAGATGATTCCAATGGAGGTTCCATGATAGGGTCCATCGTATCTTGCTCGGATTCATCAGCATTTTGTTTATAGCAACTGCTGCCATGATAACTATTTCGTGCTTATTTTTACCTTAGATAGGTAAATATTAGGGTATATTGATGATAACCCTATATATCGATTTTTTACATAAATAGATTAATCTTATGAAGGCCGATTGTCTCGCAGACGATTTTAATAATGTAGTGCACGCGCATATCTATTTAGATTACGCGTAGTTTCTACATTATGTTTAAACACATACGTGTCTCATGAGTAGCTCGCAGCTAAACATGTTGTCGTAGTTGACTCGCAGTCAAAACGATTTGTTCGAATCTGTACGATCGAACGCGTCTTGCTGATACAGCAATCGAAATTATAATCACTTTTTTATAATTTACTCATTAATTATAACATCAATACGAAATAAACGTAACCACAGTGAAATAAGAGTAAAGTGAAAGAATTTTATAAGTTTTATGTACATACCTCCATTCTTGTCATTGTCTGACTCTATTACGCGTCGAATTCGACTATGATTATGATATTTCTTGCGTTTTTCTCTTTCTTCTGTTTTCTTAATCTTTTCCGGTAACTATTTAACTTTTCTTGTGCGCTGCGTTTCGGCATTTTTAAGGTGCGTTCGTTGCCTCGCACGAAAAAGGAATGAGCTCCACAGATCGGACGCGGGTGGCCGTAGCGAATGACAGTTCTTATTTTTTTAAATACGAAATCGATTCCTTAACTCGATTTTCTCTAAAAAACGTGCGATGTTGCCTGTAGGTTAAAGGGACTACTTGGTATGGATTTATATTGTATCTGAAGAATGAAGCGACGAAATATAATATATACTTTTAAACTACATTCTTGCATCATGCGCCGCTATTATCTAATAATATTGTTGAAATAAAAGAACACAACAGATTACACATTCTATTATGGTCAAACCACTTCATTACTAACTAATACTTTGTCGAAAGCTTTCCCTGCGTCGAAAATGAGGGCCTCTGTAAAAGAATCGCGATGGGACAAGAATGTGATGGACTTGTTTTACACACGAGACGAGTGTTTGTTTTTAACACTTAATTACTAGTGGGGGAAGAGAAAGTTGAAAACAACATATGCTAACCTATCGTAAACAAGACACTCGTGTATTTTACCCAAACCTTTCAGTAGACTTATCGGTTTATATTAACGTACCTCAGACTTTACTTTACCAATTAGATATACTAGACCAGGCTACGGACCCGTGAAGCACACAACCGGAGGTGGAAAAACTCACCCGGCTGCAGACAGTCCAAACTGGTGATGACTCAAGTCACACCACGGCTCACCTGCAGTGATCAGTCTTAGCGAAAGGAAATCCGAATAGTTGTCGGTACTCTAACAGGACACTTAGCCCTGAACCGACACCTATTCATCATCAATGCAACCGACAGCCCTCTGTGCAGGGGAAGTCTGGAAGCAGAGGAAACGGCCGCCCACGTAGTCCTGGAATGTGAGGGAGTGGCCGCACAACGGGCAAGTATCATTCCTGAGACAAGATCGCTCCTAGAAGCCTGTGAACGCCCCAGGAGGCTTCTGCGCTTCTGGAAGGAGCTTGGTTGGCTCACCTAGCTAACCAATCCTCGACGCATAAAGGACCACTCTTGAGTCTAAATGCGGAAACCGAAGCCCACAACCAATACTAATATACTATCCATAATAAGCACGACTTCTTGCCACTCTTAGAGAAAGATGTCATATGTGAGCGCTGCGTGAAATAGAAACCAGAAGGACCAAAGAACTATTACAAACAATTAAATTATGCTGTTTGTGCAGCAGGTAAAGTACCGTTGAAGGGCCGCAGTCGTTTTCACCTCATCCGAGGAAACTGCTTACACTTGGCAGTTGTTGTCTAATATATCTCTCATGGATTAGATACGAGTACTGATACTGCACCTACAAATGGCACTGTATTCAATCACAATTTATTTGCTGCTTTTTTTTGGGCTCCGATCAAAAATATAAGAATTTTGGATATCGCTGATGTCACGTAAATTTTTAAATCAAATTAAATATACATTATTTAGTGATTGTGATCATGGCGTTGGTAACATAAATTATTATCTGTTCCTGCCCTCTCGCTTATGATATTAGGCGCATATGTGGGTGTATTCAATAGATTTGTACCTAATCTCAACGGCAAGAGGGTACAAATTCAAATTAGTTACGATTATTGTTTGTGTTCAGTGATAAGATGAACGACACCGACCCTGAACTTACTACTTATGCAATCACCAGAGAATTTAAATTTTGTAATCATTAAAACATTTAAAAATTAGTATGATTATGAAATACCTCAAAAAAGGGAAAATTCGTCAAATTTTTAATCAAATTTTACGACCAGATTGGACTAAGAAAAATATGTATTCCAAAAATTCCACAATTGCACAGCATTTTTGAAAATGTTTGACGTAAGTTGAATGTTTAGAATATCAGTGTCACGATTAAGTTTTAATAGTTATAGGTCGTTTACATGCATGCCGAGCCTCGACAAGTGTCCACAACAACAAGCGTGTAAACGGGGTATTTGGTTCGGCTCGCGTAGGCTCGTCGTCGATCGGTACTAGCATCGGTTTTTGAACACAGATCAAAGGAAGCTCGCGGCAAGCGTTTGCGATGTATTTACACGTTGGCGCGTGCTTGTTCCCTACTGCTCAATTTGATATTACAAATATTGTAGTTGAGCAGTCGGGATTCAATATTAAGTCTCAATGCTCTACTGATTGAGCAGTAGAGGTAGAGTTTTTTTTTAGTTTAGTGCCGACGTTAATAGTGTAAAACACTGTACACTGTCGATCAGGTCAGTTAGACTTAGGTGCACAGACGGTAAAGTCAGTCAGAAGATAATTTTAGTACGGGATATGTTTGTTTAATGTTGTTGAGTAGAAGATTGTGTTATCGATGTTTTTTAAAGGTTACGTAAATATTTAAATTATAATACTAGCGTAATAGTCTAAGATCCGGCTGCAGAATTAGCAATTTTTTTCTGTTTATTATGATATACGGTTGCTTAATTAAATCTGGCCGCAAACAAGGGTTGTTAAAGATCTAGCTAGCTTTAATTTGATATATAAATAATAAATATAGGTACGTTATGAGCATATAAATATATCAAAATCATACTTGTTTACACCTGGTTGCGAAGAGGTGCGGCCAAGTGCGCAACGGCACGGTACAATTATAATACAGTATTGTAACTCGGCCGCATGATAGAAATAAATGCCTACAGCCGCGCGGTACGTAAACATGCGTTAGGTCTGCCCGTCTCCAGCATTTTAATTATATTTGCCTACTTTCTGTTTCTATTTAGATTTGTGATTGTAAATATCCTTTTTATATAAATAAATAAAGTACTTTGTATATTGAATAGGAAGTGTTCAATAAAAATGCGTGTTGTTTTTTGATTGGTAGATTTAATTAAAAAAACATGTTTTTGTTTGAAAAACAAATCGGGCTTATAAATTTGCGACCGAAAAAACTCCTTCTATAAAATAAAATAAATGTGCTTTCTCCTTACGCGTTACAAAACTCCAATCCTTAGAAACTCCAACACCTACCTACTCAACTAGAATGCAAGAAACAGCTGACGAGTAAGTAACTTTTTATCTCAGCTTATTAACGTCTCTATAAATTAGGTACCTACCTACAACTCGCAACAACTCAAAACTAAAATTCTTTGGTCACCAATTAATTAATTATTAAAAAGCTGAACAGCTGACTACGAGTGTTTTAAAATCACAACCCTCAAACATCTAAATATTATATATGAGTCTAGCTGTTGTTGTTAATACCGAGAAAATAAAACCAATTTTTAGTGGTATATGTTGTTATAGTAGCAGCAGAAACACTTTGTGAAAATTTCGAAAACTGTCTAATGACACACAGACGGTAAAAATTTTTTTTTAGTATTATTTATACACACAGATAATAAACAAATATTATTAATAATAAAATACCACGTCTTTACTTTGAATTATGCAAAGTAACAAAACACACATGCACCGAAGTTTTAACACAAGCGTAAGTAGGTAGGTACCTACCGTATCATGATTCATTCAGAACCGCATATAACTACCTATTTCACTCGTCTCAATAACTTTCCGTTACTCTATTTGCTTTATTTATTTCAACCAAACACGTTTTTTTTCGTGAGATAAAAGGAAATACTTATCCATTAAAAACACACACATTATGTACCTACCTACTAGTAAGTAAAATTATTTTATAGTCTTATCTTTCAGAGTTTCCAGGTAATTTAAAAAAACTTATGTCTGGATGCGTTATTGACGAATTCATACAACCAAAAACAGCACAATATTTCCTACTCGTCATATTAACTGATTTTTAGAGAAAAAAAATTACCGGTTATTGTTAAAAAAACAACACACAGTCCGTTCGACACTGCGGTACAGCCGTGACTGTCTGCGCCCTGAGCGCACCCCGAGATCGAGGCGCGTAGGTATAGCTCGCGTTTCGTCCGTTTGTATGAAGTTGGAGTACTGTATTATAATAGTACCGTGGCAACGGCAACCGAGGTTTTTCAGACTTTTTATATTTTGCCGTGAAATGGACGATATTTTATTTAAGAAATAATCGAATGATTTTTTTTCCGAAAAATCAATTAACAATAATTTAATAAAAAATACTAGCGGCTACATTTTGACAGGGTGCCCCTGGGAGACATACATATATTTTCCTAATCATAAATATGCTTAAAAATTTGGTTTTTAGCAAACACTCCATGAGTGCGCTAATTTTGCAGAGGGATCTCGTACTATAAATATTTAAATATATTGCCCTCCGCAAAAGCTAGTATTTTAATAAATTTGGCCCATTTGCTATAGTTATTTTGTAGTGCGGCACTCCTAGAATTCTAAATATGACTTAAGGTTATTTTGTAGGTTGTTTAATGTTGAAAGTACTGGTTTGTTTGTCGTAAGTTTGATAGGACTGTTGATCCAGTGGTTAGTGATCCTGACTGCTAAGGTCGTAGGTCTGATTGTTTACACCCAGGACAAAATAATTGTGATGAGTACGTATCATTGGTTCTGTGTCTGGGTGTAATTTAACTATAATGTGTATGTTTTAGAAATAAATCTATCAGCAGTCTGGTTACCATAGTACAGCCTCTGCCTAGTTTGTGAGATGTGCGAGGTTATTTTTATTTATATGATCGTCATTAGGTTCTGTTTAATACTTTTGATAGGTAGGAATATTTTCATTATCAGCAAAATTATGAAAACAATAAGCACCTATATTAGTATGTATGAAATAGTTAACACCATCTTACAAGCGCGAGTGGGTGGCGATAATGACCACAATGTTCTTACCATAGTGGTGATCATAGTGACGAGTGCGGACGCGGAGGGTGCGGACGGCGGAGCAGAGGGGGGCCGCGCTCGCGCCGCTCAGGCTGTGCAACACGGCGCGCGCCTGCGCAGGAAGCTCCAGCGCAGGCTCACGCGTCAAGCTATCGCTGAGGCCAAAGCCATCAAGGAACAGATACATGTGCTTGCTTATGTCGCCGAACTAGTAAGTTTTAAA